ACCTTGCGCTTTCGAGGCAGGCACCAGAACCACTGAGCTCAACCCCTGGCCCTCAGTTCTTTTTATGTTCCCTTTCTCTCCTCTTCTTCCCCCTCTCCATCTCTTGCTGCAGTTCTCATTTGCAAAAGATCTGTCTCCCTATTTCCTATCATCTATCTTTTATTTTGTTCTTTAATTTATGTGGGGTTTTTTGCATTTCTTGTATAAGAGAAGCCATGTGACATTTAAGCTTGCGTGTCAGATGTGTTATGTACATGCACCAACTCCTTATGAGGAGATGTAATCATTAAGTATTGCAAATATGTACTAATAAAAATAAAAAATTTTTTAATTACCTTGTATAAGCATTTAATTGACAACTTAAGATTCATAAAACATACTCTCAAAAGAGTATGATATGGTTGCAATACATAATATTTACATTCTCTTGGAGATATTGGTTCATGCCTGTCAGGTCTTCATCATTTTCAGTTCCCTTCTCCTCTGCCTTCCTGCCGCTTCTTTTCTCTGAAGCCCACAACTATCATTATATTTTAAAGCATCCAAAAGAAAGAACACTCTTCTATTACAAAGAGTTTATGAGGGAATATTTTTATTTAGGAGTGAACCATGACAGTGTTCAGAAAAATTTGAGATCTAACTGATGGAACTGTGAGATTTTTATGCTGGGGAGGGGAGGGATAGCATTCTACAGGTGGCAGGTGTGCGTGTGTGTGTGTGTGTGTGTGTGCACATTCTGTGTATTGTATGAGGTTTTTCCTAACCTTCTTTTCATAATTCTAATTCTACTTGTTGTGCCAATAACTCTGGTAAAGGCAATTCATCAGAAAGCTAGAATCAAAAGTTTATTTTGAATTTCTAAAGACAGCCTAAGAATTTGAATTCCTGTATGCAGATGTCTAATTAGAGACACTTTAAGATGCATTAAAAATTCATAAAACACACCTTCTGAAAGGTGTGCTAAGTTTCCAAAGATACGAGACTACCCAAGCTCTACCAGGAGAATGGGAATTAGGGCTATTTTAAAGAATCTCAATGTGCTTATTTAAGAATAAACTTCTGTGAGGGGTGGAGCTTGGGGGAAGAATGTGAAAGAGGACAGTGCAGCTCCGGGTCCACCGCAGCCTAGAGGTGGGGCTTGCTGTGCTTGACCTGATTGGGTCTGGTGCGCGCCTTACCTGCCCGAAAAAGGTGACTCACATTTTCCAGTGTGATGTTAGCCACGAGGAAATTGCAAACAAGACCCAGTAAGTAACAGAAACTTCCCAGGTGATTCCACTGTACAGCCAGGGAGGAGAACCACAGACTCGGTGTTGAAATATTGCACTGCAGGATTCTTTTTTTAAGCATGGGCTAGAACATATGTCAGAGAAGCTTCAGGCCACACCAGGCAGTAGAAGTTTTCTCCCATGACAAATTTTAGAGGACAAGGAGAGAAATCTTTCTGCAGGAAACAAAAGCTCAGGTACACTGTGCAGAGCTGTTTATTATAGACATGGGCCTCCGCCCACCCGAGCCATGATAAGCGGGTATGCTTGTGAGTTTCCAGGTCCTGCTCACTCTGGACTTGGGGGTTTGTGCTGGTGATGGTGGAGAATGGGTCCACAATCCTTCCATGGCACAGGGGTGTAAGCTACAGCTGTAGGTTAAGAGTAACCAGGCAGAAGAGACGCTCGGTAATAGGTGTCCCATTTTCCCAGTGTGCACCCAAAAGCTACTTTGGGGTCAATAGTAAGGGGTCATAAACTAAGGACACACCATGATCTTCAAGTAAAAGTTAATGAGTCGTAAATTTTTTTAAGGTCTGTGGCCTGATGTTTGATACCTATACACATAGTGACATGCTTACTACTAATATCTATGTATTTAATCTGATGTGATCCCTTGGAATCCAATCTTTCAGCCAATTTCTGGTGTTCAGTATGGTACTATCAGTCATCGTGCTGAAACCAGACCCCTAGACTGCTTCTTTCTGAACACCTGAGAGAGCTTGGTGATGTGGACAGGAGGTGGTCCGTGCTGGAGAGGTTCGGAAGTTGTGAGATTCTGAGGATATTTCTGAAGGAAGACCCAGTAAGGCTTGCTCACAGATTGGATGTGAACTGTGAGAGAAAAGGGAATTGAGGGTGAGCCTGAGGATATTTTTCCTGAGTCACAGGAACAAAGGGTGTCATATTCGTTGCCATAGTAAAATCATTATGAGGCATTCTAGGGGAAATTTAGAATTCAACTTTGGATGAATTAAGTTTAAGTGTCCATGAGCATTGACCTGAGATCTCTTATACGCAGTTGTGTACAGATTTTGGAATTCAGGGTAAATGTACTTTCTGGAAATAAATTTATCCATCCTCAAACATATTTGAAGCCTTCTAACAGGAAGGATTAAAAGGGAATTTTAAGGTAGACGGATATATTTCCAACAAAAATAGCTAAATTGGGCAACTATGAGTTAACAGTGTTATTAAGCAAGTATGGGAAACCAGGTAACTGTGCTCTTTGTAGAATGTACTTGAGGGCCAGGGATTTAGCTCCGTGGTTCCGCTGCCTGCCTCGCAAGTGCAAGGACCCGAGTTCGATCCCTGGTACCAAAAAAAAAAAAAGGCAACGAATGTACTTGAGTAGCCACAACAGCTTCTGTAATCTGTCACCACAGGAGTGTAACAAACTCAGAAAGTCCTGCTAGGACTCTGCCCTGGCCCTTCCACTGCTCTGCTTTGTGCAAACTCTGCTTGTGCACCTCCCACTTGCACTCCTACAAAATTGCTGACCTGCCAACATTCTGGGCCTGACCTTTTGGGGAACAATCCCAGCCAGGTCCCTCGACACAGGAAAGCGTTGTACAGTGCCTCTCGCCTCCCTGGGGTCTTCCCTTCCTGGATCCAGTTTGCTGCAGCAGGGCAGGCAGGAAGGGCATAGGCAGTGTCATCAATCAGCCAAGGGTTCTTGTGCTCGGTTCAGGTGGAAATCACACAATTAGGGTCTGACCACATGGGAGTGGCCAGGGTTCCCCACAGAGGAGAGGGGACCTCAACCTGCCTCCCCTCGTGGATCCAGTTCATCCACTTCTGCACAGGAACACAAAGGGAGTGAGAGGCAGAGGCAGATGTGATAAGCAGAGTTAGAAAGCAAGAGAAAACAGGGGAGGGGCTTCGCTTGAAGGAAAACACGCGTGGAGGAGCGGATGAGTCTGACAGAGAAGATCGGACTGGCCCAGAGGCAAAAGAGCAAGGTTAGTGTCTATGGTACCACTGGGTCGGCTGAGCACTGGCCATTTTCCACTGGATAAGGAGTGTGGCTTCCGACTTCTCCCCCGCCCCCCATTCCAGGGGATTGTCTCCCTGTAGGAGGGTGTGAATTAGGGTCCGTTCGTTCCCACCTGGGAGAGACCCTGGTGTCTCCTGGCCAGAGAATCCCTCCATCTCTGTCCCCAGGAGAGTCTCCCTCTTCCTAAGGGCCTGTCCTGCCACGGTGGAAACACAGGCCATGGATGCAGATCCAGGACAGTGAGACACGAGTGGAGGGGGAGGGACAGAGCCACTGCAGGGGACAGAGCTCAGCAGCTAGGGAGCGGGAACTCCAACCGGTGACAGCATGCGAGAGCCCAGAGCAGAAGGTCTTTGGAGAGGGAAGAGCCCCTGCCTGGGCTTTGAGCCATTCAAGGTCAAGTGGAGCGCCAGAGGGGCTCAGCCCATCACATAGCCATCATGCACCATCGTACCATGGGCACACGGAGGGAGGATGACCCTCACAAGAGAATGAGAGGGAGAGAGGCACATCCTGGCGTCTCAGCATCACCAGCTCTCCGGAATCCCAATGCCAGAAGCACCAGGAGCTATTTTATGATACTAGGAAAAACTGCTTATAAACACAGTGAGCTGGGTGCAGCCTTGAGACTCTTGGGGTACATGGGATAAGACTGGCAACCTTAACAGGGCAGCATCGGGGCTTGGCTTCTGCTTCCCTCACAGTCTCTGTCTACTCATTCGTTCCAGGCGTGTTTGCGATGTTGATGTTGGAGCTCTCAGGTAATTTTGCTTATGCCAACAAGGCACTGGCACACCGTGCCTGTCTCCACGCAAATGAAGAGAAATGGCCACATCTGGGCTGTAAATTAAGCCTCTGTCACCAACTCAGCCTCATGAAAAACAGAGATGTCCAGGTGTAAGTGAGACTGTGGCCAGGTGGTTTCCAAAATATGACAAATAAACCTGATTTAAATGTAGAAGATGCATTTGTTCCCAGATGACTTCATTCTGCGGCTGCGGACAGTGGATATTTTTTACAGGAAAACTCCTGTCGCATGCAAACTCCAGGCTTTCTCTGCACACGGAACTTCCTGTGGATGATCTCCCAGGGTGGTGCATCACAAACAGGTGCTCAGAGCACACGTGAATCATCTCACAGCAGACAAAGCACATGCAAGAGCAGTATCTGCAGCTGCTCTTGTAGCTCTGATTTTCCAAGTAGAAAGTCAAACTCCCACAGTATCCAGAGGAAAATCAATTAAGCAGCTTTGGCAAATGGACAAACACTTGATTGATTATATCATTAACCCAATTTTTAGCCCCAACTGTGCATCCAAGAAGAGTAGCCACAGTGACGTAAAGGAGGCACCACTTGAACCCCAGATGCCAGGAAGAGACACAGGTGCGTCTCGCTGTGAGGGGAAGGTGGTATCAGGCAGCTGGGGCAGGGAGCTGAGGCCCAGTGAGGCGGAAGAGGCAGAGTCCGTGCAAAGGCACTGAGACTCTGCAGAGCTGAGGAGTCCAGCGGTCTGGGAAAGCTCACTGGAAGATGGGCAGGAGCACCTGGTGCCAAGTAGACAGCCAGCGACCCAGCAGCAGTAGCAGCACCTCTCTAAGTATCGGGCTGCACATTACTGCTCTTTGTTCTAGGAACCTCCCTCTAGACTAGATAAATTGAGTCATATCACACGCACATTTCACTCAGCCAAATTTTAGTGTAAATTCTTGGGATGAGAGAGAGAGGAAGAAGGAGGAGGAAGAAGAGTCAGGCAGGGCGGAAGAGGAAAGGGAATGGAGAGGGAGGGAGACTCCCAGTTGTTTACGTCCCTTCTCCGCAGTCCCCTTCTGTGTCCTGTGGGGCAGGAGAGTTGCTTTAAATCTTGACTTTCGAGTTTCTAAGCACCAGATCTTGATGATGTTAGGATGTTTAAGTCACCCCCAGAGTAGTTTCTCCTATCACTGTTTTTTACCATATCTGTAAATTCATAATATCATCCTCATCCTTAGATACAATGCCATTGTCTTTTTAATAGTCTGACTGTGTAGATGAAAGAAATTAGGAACTTTTTGCCTGCAGTTAAAAATTTCTGGCATATTACGCAGAAGAAGAAATGGGATTAGAAGCTCACATTCAGAAGTGTCAGTGAACAAGGCTCTCCCTGGTGCATCTGTGTGTGCCGAGGCCACTGAGAGTCAGAGGGCAGACGCTGCCAGGAGAGACGTCACTGTTCGCTGGCTGTGTTCCGTGCCCACGGGCAACGCCCCAGGAGAGACGAGCAGAACTGTGGCATGGGTTCTGCCCAAGGATGGAGCCGGCTCGCACCAAGCCTTGAGAGCTGCGACCAAGTAACAGTAAATATCTGCCGTGGACGAGGACTTCTGATACATTTCTGGGCCGTGATCATCCAGTCCCATATGAAGAAATAACACGAAGTTAAATAAAGCAGAAACATGAATAGAGCCTTTTCACTAAATAAATAACCAGGAGAAAAGAGAGAGGGTAACAGTTCACAGGACACTTAGAAGACTTACCAACTAAATGCAATTGCAGATACATTTTATCCTTTTTATCCTAATTCAAACAAAACAGCTATCATAAAATACAGTTTGAGGCAATCATCAAATTTCACAGTGGCTAAGCATTTGATAGTATTAAGTAATTGTCATTAATGTTTTAGAGACCATAATTATATTGCATTTGTGCCAAAACTCATTATTAGATTTATTTTATGAGTATTTAAAATAGAGTGGTGTCAGTAATTTGCTTTCAAGTTTACCAAAAAAAAAAAAAAAAGAGAGAGTAAGACTAGATAAATGTGGTTGCCCAGTTTATAGTGATTGGTAAATTAATAAGCACATGGTATTTATTATGCTTTTAAATAATATTTTTATCTCAATTTTTATTATTTCCCCCAATAAAATGTTTTGCATATTATAAAAGGAAAAATGTAAAATATCCTGCTTTCTCCTTTATGGCTGTCTTTCCCTAACTGGGTTTATTTTCTCTGGTCACTTTCTCCTCCTTGATCTGTAATAGAATTTCTCTCCTCCTGTCTTTCAGAATGTCATTTCATGGAGAGAAAGTCTGTCTTGCCCTGTGGGATCCATCCCCAGCACCTGCATGGCATGCGGCCCACACTGGGAGCTCGGGGAACACTGACACCGAGGGTCCCCGCACCCCCTGACATTCCCTGGAGCCACGGTCAGCCAGGAGACAGCCTCCAGGGAGGCCATCCCTGCTGGCCCTGCGCTCACTGCCCTTAGAGACTCCAAAGCACATTCATATTCCAATGTCTCTTCAGCCTCACTTTGAAGAAACTTGCTTCATTTGGAGGAGTCCCCTTATTTTGCCACACTTCCAGCGCCCCCACCAGGAGCTGTGCTATGGTTTCCATCCAGAAGGACCTGAGCTCTCATGTGCTCAGAGGCAGGGCTCAGGGAAAGTGATTGGACCCTGGGGGCTACAGCTGAACGCACTGGTAGGAGCTGCAGCCTGACCCTGGCCAACGGGATGTGAGCAGCCCCCGCCCTGCCCCAGGCCCTTGCAGTGTGTCCTTTCTGCCCTGGAGCCCGCTGACCAGGGACTGAAAACTCTAAATGCCCCAAGCCCAAACAAACGTCTGTCTCCTCCTCTCCTCCGTTAAGCTGGGGGTGTCAGGTATTTTGGCTCAGCAGCCAGGAAAGTGAGGAAGGCAGTGCATCTCCTAGAAGACAATGAGCGGATGCTGATATCTGACGTGGAGAAGGCTCTTTGAGAAGCCAGACAGTGGGACCCACACTGGACACAGGCTGAGCTGTGGACGGCCAGGGGGAGACCAGGGACAAGGAAGAGCGATAACTGCAGCCCTATTCCTCTCACTCACACTTCATACACCTAAGTGCAGGGGATGCTTCTGTCCCAGCCGCCCACCATCCACCTTCAAGGAGAGGAGGGGTCCCGAGGTGCTGAGGGCTGAGAAGAGAGAGGCAGAGGAGACCCCTGCTGAGCCCCGAGCGAGGGCGGGAGGTGCGGTGACACCTCAGGGACTGGCCTCTGGGCCACGTCCACCTGCCTGGCTCTGCGCCAGGTTGGCTCTCTTGAAGTCACCACCAGAGCCGGAAGTTTATGTCTCTGCAGCATCTCAGAGGTACAGATCCAAGGCTCTGGGCCTTGTTTTCCCACTAATGCTTTAATATCTGCATTCCAGAAGTGCCTGGATTTGACCCTTTTCCCTAAGGGGTGATTAATAAATATGGTGAATGATTAATTTATTTTTAAAGATGGTTATTACTGTAAAAAACATGTTTCCAAGAACAATGTGGTAAGTGTGTTCAAAATGAGAGGGAATGTTTTGAGTGTCTTTAGGGGGATTAATGACAATATGTCTTTCACTATAATAATTTTTTATTTCAACATTCACTGTATATGCTTTGATCACACCACACTGATCAATCATTTGCAGCAGTTTCTGTCAAATAAAAACATGACACTGTGTCCTCATCCAGCTTAGTCACCAGATCTGGCGCTGTGCAACTTCTGGCTCTTGCCCAAAGTCAAAATGACCATGAAAGGAAAATGTTTTTAATCAGTTCAGGGCATTGAGGAAGCCACAACAGTGCAACCAAAGATACTCATAAAAGAGGACTCCAGAGCTGCTGCAGAATGTTCAAAGCAAGGGAGAGCATTTTGCAGATTGATGGCAATATGATTTTCATTGTAATAAATTTTTAAATGTAAATATTCCCTATATTTTTAACCACACCTCCTATTCCCCAGCCTATTCCCCAAACATATGCAAGCAATTTACCTCAGTCGTAAAGAGAACTCAGCTGAGGAGAAGCAAAAAGAAAACAAACAAAAGAATAAAAGGCAAAAACATAAATCAAAACAACAGAGACCCAAAACCTTAATAGCTGGGTTCTCTTAAAACACAATATTGTAAATCAATTCCTCATTCCCTCCACAAATGTCTTTTCTGAACAGGTTTGACACTGAAGTTTTGTCCCACAAAACTTCAGGAAAATCTATATTTTCACTGCTGAGGAAATTAAATGGGAGCCTCCTACGACGTGCGATGCTGCTGTCCGTTTACTCCTCGAGGTGAAGAGCCTTGGAAAAGAAGAGCCACAGCCGTTGCCACGGTGTCACCCAGGGATGCAGCTGTGACTCCCCCGCTGAAGGGCGGGGCATGTGCCAAAACTTGTGACTGGCATGGACAGCACCAATCTGAGGCCAAGCCCAGCCCTCTCATCTTTCCGGGTGCCTTCTGGAGACCCCCGCCCGCTCTGAGAGAGGCTGTGTGGTGAGGAACAGACCGGCTCCTCCCCCTGCGCCTCACTTAGCCCCGCTGTCCTTGGACTCACCTTCAGGTCCCGGGGTCCTGTACTTGGGCCTGTTTGTGGGGACTCAGTGTTTCCGCCTGGGAAGTAACTGTGACTGATGCATTTTCCAGTGTGTCCCTTCAGGCCTCCAGGAATGCGAGGACCAAAGTAAAAACTATGCTTCACATTTTGGATGAGAGGCTGGGTCGGATCGGAATTAAAATTAATGAGAGCAGCTGTCCAGGCAGCGGATTCAGTTTCTCCCAGACAGTCTGAATGTCCAGTCCAGAACGCCACGGGAGAAAATGTGACTGGAGTCAAGGGCAATGTCTTAAACTTCAAGATTATTTTGTTTGAAAATGAGAACTACAGATCCCACATGCTTTGAATCTTCATATCGCCTCATGGCATCACTTTGGGGTCATTATCTTGTCGTAGCCACCCCGCCCTGCTTTCCCTCTCAGCCCAGCACTTGACAGCTGCCAACACATTTCACCCTCTGAGCACCCTCCCAGACAAGTCCTGCAGCCCTCCCTCTCAGCAGAGCAGGACACTGCGGCACGGGCAAGTCCAGTGCTTGCCTGACGGCACACAGACCAGGAGGAAATCATCCTGGTGCAAAGGGGCAGGTTCGCTCCTCTCTGGGTTTCAACAGCAGCAATGGGCCTCGGGTGCATACCTGTCAAAGCCACCCCAGGGGCACCTTTTAACAACAGCCAGGCTGGTTGCAGGATGATTGTTTGTGAGCCCTTCCCTGAGGAGCAGGGTAAAGTGTGAGGACTTGGAGACCAGCTGTGTCGCTCTCTTACCCTGGGACTGGGGCCTTTGGGCTAAGTCATTTAGCCTCTGTCCCGGGCAGGAGTCTGGTCATCCTTGTTCTCACCTGATAAGGCTGTTACAGGCAGGGATCACACAGCTGAGCGCAGGGAGGAACGATTCCTGAAAGTGGAGGAAATAGCTGATGAGCTCTTCACACTCCCTTCAGCTGCCAGGACCCTGCTCTTTCTTCTACCAGGCACCACTCTGGAGTTCTAAGCCAAGAAACTGTGTAGAGACTGAAATTACTCTTATTTAAAGTTCTCTTTTTTTACTTTATCGCTTATTTTAAATGTGAAATTGATAGGGTGGGACAGTATTAAGTAATATCAATAATACATGATGTATTTGATGATTTTTTTAAAGTCAATTTTCTTTTACATTTTCACTCTTCCTAGGACCAGATGATGGTGATATTTCTTTAATACAACTACTCTTTAAACCTGTGAATCCAATTTCAAATATTTACCAGTGTGAGACAAGATGCTTATTCTGGTTTGAATCCAAAGTATCCTCCCAAGGCTTGGTTGCCAGCTGAGGGCCTTTGGGAAGCAGCTGGGTCACAAGGACACCATTTCCCTCTCACTCCTTCCTGGCCACCGTGAGTTGAGCAGCTTTGTTCCACCACGCCCTTCCGCCATGATGCTTCTGCCTTGCCATGGGCCTTAAAGCAATGGAGAAAGCAGACCATGGACTGAGACCTCTGAACGCGTGGTCAAATAAACCTTTCCCTTATGGCAGGCCTTCTGTCACAGCAATGGAAGCGGCCTGACGTAATGCTGGGTCCTGGTGTGATCGTCCTCCAGCCGGGGGCTGCTGGGCATCCCCGGTGCTGGGCACATCTCATTTACCTCTCAGCACAGCATGAGGGTCTGTGGGGAAGCCAGCGGGAGGGACTGGAAGGAGCTGGTTACAGGGCTTGGGCCATGATTGGGGTTCTGGGGGCTCACAGAGGGGGGACTGCTCTGGATGGGGTGCTGTTGGGAGGTGGAGAAATACAACTGACCATCTTCATCTGCCTTCTGTGGCAGGAAGGAGGGCCAGGGCTGGGACAAGACCAGAAGTGGTAAAGAAGCTGTGGTCACCCATGTCCCTGAGAGGGAAAGATGTTTGGAGTCTGTGGCCTGGCAGTATTCCTGCCTTGTCCATGTTCAGACATGAGCACAATGTGACCTTGTTCTCTCGAACCACGCGGCTTCTCCAATGCCAGTGCTCTGTGAAATATTCACATTTACCAGGACAGCAGCTACTAAAGCCTGTCTGGCATGCCAAGGCCCACTTTGCTCTGCTCTCTCTGGGTCCGTGCAAACATTAAAAATCTTGACCTGCCCTTGTTGAGCTTAGAATCAGGGAACAAAGATAAGTGTTGAGCAAAAAGTTTGTTATAAAATTAATGAATTTTTTGGTCTTCGAGTGACCTCAGTAAGAATTATTTCAACAGAAGTCTATTGCTAAGGACATCAAGTCTGCGATGTGGGGAGAAAATGAGCCCTAGAACACAATATAAGTGAGAAACAGGTAGGTCCATGTGCATCTTACAGGTATTTTTACATTGAAAACAAAGAATGCCTTTGCAAATTTGTTTTACTTTACTTCTTAGCAAATTCTTTGAGGATAATGTCAGATTATGAGATAATAACAGAGCCTGAACCAGAAATCCCATGTGAGTCCAAGGTTTTACCCTTTAGCCTCACTTTTGCCCCAGATTCATGATAAACGCTGGGCATAGCAGTGGTATTACCAATCTGGACCACTTCGGCCACATGTATGTCAACTCAGAGCTTCCAGTGAATACAGAATGTGGAAGAAATAAGTCACTGTTAGACCCAAAACCATAGCATCTTCCTCTTCCCAAAACAAAATGATTCCTTTGAATGTCTGTCCTGCATCGGTTCCCAAGTGAATCAGTGAGCCAGGGGGGCCGGGGAGGCAGAACTGCCCCTTCCTCACAGCGGCCGGAGGGGCACGGAGGTGAGGAGGTGAGCACACTCCGGTTGCTCCTTCCCTTCCATCACCAGCTGGGCATGCTGGGTTCAAGTGTGACCCCAGAATTCATTAGCAGGGATTTTATACCAGCAGCTGCAGCAAAGGCCTTCCCAGCTGCTGCGTTAGGAAAGACACCCTGTTCCTTTCAAAACTGGCCCTGGGGTTTCGTAAGTGACCAAATCTGGCATCAAAGTGAATTGGATTCTCTTTTCCTCTTCTACACTGAAAGCCAGGTGACAGCAGGGTCCCTGGGCCCATGTTGAAAAGCTGAGCTGTCAGTCTTGCTGCACAATCCCATCTGCTTCTTGACAGTGGGCCCGGTCACTTTGCCAGTGTTGCAGGGGGTCTGCACGGGGTCTAAGGAGGTGGCTTCTCCCACCAGCACAGGCAGACACTTTGAGAGTCTTCTTCAGGTTGGGGCTCACCGTCCCAGCAGGAGAAGTCAGGAGGACGCCTCCCCTCTCCCTGTCATCCTAAGACGCTCCTTAGAAAATAGCACACTCCTATAGCAGCCAAAGGAAGGAAGAACGAAAACACAGTTCCAACAAATCCATTGAGGCCATGTGGAACTCTCCACTGCTTTCCACAACAGCACCAAAGCTTTGCTCTGAGGCGTCTTCTCCATTTGTACGAAAGTCACTAGCTAATAGACATTAACTTGGGAAAATTTATTCAGAAAATATTCCTGGGCTGACCATAACCCAAAGGCTGGCTTCCATTCCTGTAGGAGTCTCCTAGATGCTAAAGAGGGCTCTGACCTGGGGATGTCTATGTTTTCATGGCCAGGAAACCCCCAGAATAAAGGTTTTCAGGGTACTCTATCTGCTCATGCCTTCCCAGGCTGGACTGAGGCCACTGAGGCTTCCTGTAAAGGACACTTCTGTTCACAGGCAGCAGTAATATGAGAAAAGCCTGGGGATGCCACCTTCGGGTCCCAAAGTTTAACACTGAGATCAGTAAGGCTTTCGTGGTCGCCCTCATTCCATGTGAGTCAGTGAGAAAGAGGAGGAAGGACCCAACCAGAGGCACAGTTGATGCTTTTCCGGTCGCTGTGTTTCCAGATGGTTGAAAAATATACCTGGCACCAGGCATGGTGGTGCACACCAAGGATCACTGCACACTGGGAGGGTGAACCAGGGGGACCATAAGTCTGAGCCCAGGCTGTGGGCTGCACAGAAACAGCCTGTGTCCAAGCATTGATAATAATAATTAATAATAATAAAGAGCTGGGGATTTAGCTCTGCGTGGAGGCTCTGGGTTCAAGTATGGGTTCAATCCCCAGTGTCACTAAAAATTACATGGCTCAGGGAACTACACATACATGTGTCCAGAAAGAACCCAGCATTGGGGTTGTTTGCAAAAGTGGAAATCCATTGTGAAACTCCAAAGTGGGGTCAGTGGGGCTGGGGCGGGGTGGGTCATGCATAAACTTCTTCGGGGCAGTGTGGAGCTATGGATGGGTAAGCTCGTGCAGAAATAGTCTGAAAATAGGTACAATGGGTAATTTAAAAAATACATACATATATAATTTTATGGTGGTTTGGGGGAAAATCACGTGAAATTGTTTTTCCATATTGTTGTACTACTTCACAGAACTCGCAGTACATCCACCCAGGCTCGAGTAGTGCACCCAGTGTGAGTTGACATCAGCTGCAATCTGCAGGGCTACAGGGATCCCCAGGAGATGAAGTGGGGAGCAGAGTTGAAGAAAGGATTATTTATCCTGCCGTGCAGAAAGCTCTGATGCTGCTCTGACCCCCCAAGGATGACAACACTGGGGACAGTGCAGGGCAGCACGGCCCTGCCTGGGGCAGTGTCACACTCTGGGCTGCAGGGGAACGTGGGTCTATATCTGTGAAGGAGGTGGCTTGAGGGAGCCAGGGAGACTCAGATGTGAGTTTGTGCAGCCAGCAGCAAACGCAAAGGAAGACACTTTGAGGAAAGCTGAGTTCTCCTTTCAGTTGCGAGGAGCTGGTGCTCACAGAAATAGTGAGTAGACACAAAATTTTAACGTGTATTTCATACAGTGTAGTTGGGAGAGAAAATCAGTGTGTGTGTGTGTGTGTGTGTGTGTGTGACACAAACTCTACTCTGCTATCCTTTGAAGATGGAGAGTAGAAAGGAAATCCTGGAAAATATTTTCAGTGGTTCTTTCTGGGATGATGAGTGATTTCTAATTTGTTTTTTTACATATTTTTAAATATGTGCAATGAAAATTGGATTCTTAAGAAATTGAAGATAAATTTTTCACACAAGCTTAGTGTGACAAAAAGACCTGGTGAAATGGTATCTTCTGCAGGCTGGGAAATCGGCTGCGCTCTTTGCTTACCAGCCCCTGTATTTCTCATCTTTACTGAGATCACACTTAGAAGTGTACATGCAAATTAAGATCCTGATTTGTATCTGATAAGATCCTTCTGTCTGCACCTATCAGAAACCCTGGCCACATTAGCTTAAATAGATAAAAGAATCCTTTTGTCATATCACAAGTGTTTCTGAAGGAGGTAATTTGGGTGTTAGTTTAGAAGCTCAGTGC